TTGCATGACTTAGAAAGAGCCACTTTTAGATACAGTGGAAACATCTGTATTATAAATGCATAACCCTTTCCCTCTGTGCCCACACACCTACATATGCTGAGATTTAAAAATAAAAGATTGTGAAGCGGCTAGTATTTACTTCAGATTCAGATTCGGCTGATTCGGGGGACAGTGATTCGATTCAGTGATTCAAATCGCTGTCCCAAATCGATTCAGCCAATTCTGATTCAGAGATTCAGCCACCACCAAATTGGCTGAGTGTCTGAATCAAACATGTCCCATTCCCCGCTGCTCTCTCAGCCCAGTCAATGGCCCCATGCTGTGTGGAGGGCTTTTCCATGAGCCCCCATCTCCTGCCCACACTCCAAGTCCCAGGCTCCCGACTCTTTAATAAAATTTTTTTTTAAAAGCCCTGCCCTGACTGGCTCCTGCCAGGCATGGGGGCATTCCCTGCTGCCCGCCACTGCTCCGTGCTGTGTGGGGGGCTCTTCCACAAGCTCCCAAAAGCCCCGAAGGCTGCAGAAGCAGCCAGTGAGAGCAGAGCTTTTTATTTTTATTTTCTTTAAAGAGCCAGGATGCTGGGGCCAAGCAGGGCAGCCATTCACGGGGCTGGGAGAGCAGGTGAGGGCTGAGGGCTCATGGCAGAGCCCCCCCCCCCCCCCCCAATGCAGCGCATAGCAGTGGGGGGCAGCGGGAATCAGCCCCCACTTGGCACTGGCGCAGCAGCTGGCACATCGCGCAGGTACAGCGTGGCTCAGCAGGGCACCACACACTGTCTGGGAGCTCAGGGGGCTTTTATGGGGGCTGGGGGAGCAGGCAGGGGATGGGGCCTGGCAGGGGTCCCCCTATGGTTCCCCTCCTCCAGCCCCTGCCCCCTACTTACCGGCCAAATCCAGGTCCAGTTCCCTGCAGCAGTGAATGAGGACTGCCCAAATCTCCAAATCTCTCTGAAGCTCTCTGAATATTTTCTGAATTGATTGGGAGAGCTTTGAATCAATTCAGATCTTTTTATTGGTCTCCAGATTCAATTCAGATTTGGAGATGTGGCTGCTGAATCAGGCCAAATCTCCTCCAAGTTGAATCAGCAACCAAAGCTTCACATAGCCCTAGTAATTACCGCTTTAAACCTTAATTAGTAAAGTAAGTATGGATATATGGTTAATGTTTTGTGTCTAGTGCTTCATGCTTAAATAAGTGGTAGTAAACACGTGTGTGTACCAGGACATCTATTCCTGTCTTGTAAAGCAATTTTTATAAAGCCTTTTCTGAAAGTTACATAACAATACATATACTAAAATTATATGACATTTTGGTTATAATGGAAATATTTGTCTACTTTCTTGTTTCACGGGTGATAGCATCATTTGACATTAATGACCCATAGAACAGAATTCAGATGTGAAAATTTTTGTTCTTTTAAAGCTTTTTACCCCAAATCTGTTAATGAAAGTGTTCATTTGTTAAACTGGCACTTAAATAGGTTTTAACAATACATCAGTACCAAAACAGGGCAGCCTTCCCCATCCATCTTCCTGAGGGTGTTGGGACCCTACTGCAAAAATGGAAGTGCCAGCAAAATTAATTACTGCACTTCTGCACTTCATGATAGATGTAAATGTACTTTTCCTGTGCAACTAGCATTGACTTTAGTTGGAAAGATGCTTTCTAGAAAATATTTCTATAACATTCTTAGTATAGGCTAAGTAACTCAGGATCATGACAGAGAGCAGGATTTAATAATTGGTTACTAGACTGCCAGAGAAGTTTAGCCAGTAATAAGTTTTTCAGTTTAACTTTTCTACTCAAATGTAAGATACAATATATGTCCATTTTCTCTAAAAAAATTCTAATTAGCAGAGATACAAGTATTTCATATTGATGTTCCCCCCTTCTTCCCCCTAAATAACCCACTATTACAAGGGTTTTAAGAGTCTTTCTTCAGCCTCTTATACTTCTGGTATAAAAAATAATTTGATTTACTAACAAAGTGGCTACCAGAAATAAACCCAGGAAGGAAAACTTAAAGTAGCATTTTTACCTAAAATGTATTTCTGACTAAAATGAATTTTCAAAGCATTATCTTGAGCAATATTGGCTTTCTTCTCTTGTGTGTACTAGTGGTAGGTAGTGTTCTTGTCTTTCCAGACTCCTATCCTTTTATGAATCTTCTATAATATAACATGAAGGAAATAATAATGAAGGAATTAAAAGGGATAGTAAAACTGTTTTCAATTAATATGATTAAGGAAGAAAATTCAGTCAATTCCTCCCCCTGTGCCAGATTATATTTTAAAATATATGCATAAATCACATTGAATTCACTAGAATATAGACACTGAAACTGAGTTTGATACATAATTAAAGCTGGGGGCGAGCTGGGTTTTTTTGGGTGACAGTAAAAATGGGAGCTTAGTCTCTTTGCCTTATGTGAAAAGCCCTGTACATACCCCATTCCTGAAATCTGAGTGTCTGAATCTAAAGCAGTGCAGAGGGGACATATATGGGTGGTTTATATATAATATAGGTAACCTTTTTTTAAAGGAAATTCCAGGTCAAGATTCCCCCAACTGCATTTTCCGGAGTCAACCACCTCAAAACTGGTGCAACCATCCCCACCACAAAGAAAGCAAGACATTTAGCACTCATTATTCCAGAATTCCCATGTATGTCCCCTCTGCACTGCTATATGCATATATATATATATATATATATAAATTGGGAAGCATTATGTATGTATGAGTGTGTGCCTGATATTAAACTATAGGTTGAAATTAGTATTTTGTTAGTGTTCTGTAGCAGACCCAAAGTGTATTACACTGAAATTTAAAACAAGTAAGAATTTCTTGATTATTAGAAGCACATTGAAAAACACCATAATAGAAACCCCAGGGATGCATAAAAATGGTTCTTTAGGATGGGAAGTTAGCCCCTGGAGGTGTAGCCCTAGTGCAGGATTCACTGTATCAAGCAGTCTCAGGTCCAAACTTTGACTCTGACCTAGTTTCAGAGAAATGATCAGAAATGAAGAAATGGATAATGTCATCCTAACAATTAAAATGTCAGAAACACCGAGAATGGTTGCTGCTGCCAAGGGTTATATTATAAAAGTGTCTGCAGATGTTTCTATTAATTTATGATAGTTAAGGTCGATGGAAAAGGTAGAGAAAAGGGCTGAATTTGCATGTGGGAATATGTCAAGGCATTCAGGGCTAGATACACAGAGAAGTTTTGGATGGGCATAAGTACATAACTGCCACTTTAAGTGCCTGAGTCCAAAAGTTAGATTCCCAGAACCCCTTTTTAGCATGATCCTAATGTTGAGAGCACCTTAAAGTACAAAGGCATCTAAATTTCTAACATAAAAGTTCCTGAGATGCCGAAAGGCTTCCAGTCACATCCAGAAGCTACTCTGTGGGCATGTCTACACATGCATTAATGCACTTTTCCTAATGCTCATTGAATTTAGTACCTGCAATGTGAGGTACTAAATCAATGCATATTATACTACCCTATTGTGCAGTAGCAAAAGTACATTTTTTTTAGTGATGCTTAATGCTCAATAGCCTATTTTACCATGCATTAGAGTATTTGCATTTTTTTTAATGCAATGCTTTAATGTGCAGTAAAATAGGATACTCTGTATTAAAGCGCATGTGTAGATGTGCTCTGTCTTAACAGTGCTAAGCAGCACATGAAAGCCCCATTAAGATCCACCAACTATGTGTTCTGGTTATTTTGCCTTCAAGGCCGGACCAAGTAAGGATTTTCAGAACAATCAAAGCAGGTTAGTTTTGAGAGTGTGACTGGAGAGTGATTGTGTCTACCCTCAGTGGTTAGAAACTTAGCAAGCCAGGAAATTCTCTTTTCTGCCTTAGGGGATTTGAACCTCAAATTCCCACTTTCCAGGGAAATATTCTACCCCGCTGTTACACTGCACTCTGGGGAGGGAGAAGCACTCTCAGTCCTTCCATTTAGAAGATGTTCTGCCTTGCAAGGAAAATGAGCATAGGTCTTGTGCTGATAATAAGGAAACATGCGTTCCCATCTCTGCTTCCACAGGATGTATTGAGAGCACTCCCACCTCAGACAACCCTATAGATTGGTAATTGATGCATTCTCCCAGGATGTTGGGGATATGTGTACATATCCCATCAGGCAAAGGAGGAAATTGAATTTAGCTCTTGCACGGCTTTGGCGTGTGCTTCACCCATTGATCTGTTGCATAAAGGGAAAGGCACCATCACTGCTACCACTTTTGGAAAGTAAAAGCTGATTTCTCTTTGGTTTTTGAAACAAAGGACTTTGACACATACGTTCATCACCAAGTTTAGAGCTGTGAATTGCAAGTTGAGGGGCACCTCTTACAGCCTAAAGAACCATTGTCTCAGAGAGTGAAAGATGAAGACAATCGCACATCCTCAGAATCTCCTATTAGTTTCCCACTGGATTTATGTTGCTTTCAACTCTGTGGATGGGGCTTTGTGGATCCCAGACACTGGTGCTCAAGAGCATGACTGCACCACAGAGCCAGGGAGCTCTGGCTGAGCCCTCCCCAAGTATACCCCATCTACCTGCTGGCATATGGCAGTGCAAGTACTCTATAATCATTTCCAGCAGCTGCTCTAGGGAAGGCTAGAGACCAAGAGCCAGAGCTCAATCATGCAGGCACACCCCAGAGCAGAGCTTTATCTGTATCATTTTCTACTACACCAAGAGAAAAGGAAAATTACAATTTAAAATTGTACAGATTTTCTAGTTGACAGCGAGGAATTTTACTGGCAAACCACCAAAGAAAACCCTTGTTACTTAAAGCGTTCATAGTTGGTAATTATTGTATCAAAGTATTCCTGAGTGCTGTTATTATCTCGAAGTGGACAATGGGCATTACACCTATGCTAAATTGATGCTAGTTTAATTTTAAAATGGCAATTAGCTTTTAATTATAACTGTTTCAAGAGAAGGAAAGAACTGACATTTTTGGTGTCTCTTTTTTTTTTTAGGAATTGATCTGGGAACCTGCAGAGCATTAAAGTGATGCACTTCATGAGTGGTGGCATCCTATACACAGGACATTACATCTGAAATTTTCCAGTAATTCAGTTTTCAGCTTTCAAGGTGGCTCAGGCTAGAAGGGGTAGATTGTTCAATACTCCTGTGCCTATAAACTAACCAAAAATGAAGGAGGACAGTTGTTTACATGCTGCTCTTATATGCCTGGGCATGCTGTACTATAGTCATGCTACGTCTACGGAAAAGCTTAACCATTCAAGGCTATCACTCCATGGTCACCATGAAAAAGGAAAAGAAGGGCAAATCCTGCATCGTTCAAAAAGAGGCTGGGTGTGGAATCAGTTCTTTGTAATAGAAGAATATACAGGACCAGATCCTGTACTAGTGGGCAGGGTAAGAAATATCTATATTTCAGTATGTGCTATTTCGTGCATCATGTATAAGATGCTTTGTTCCTCTCGTACTTCTCTTCCACATCTGTTGCCTAATCAGAACTTGCTGATAAATCCAATATTAATAATTTAATCTGTAGTTTGGTGAGAGTCCAATCCAAAGTCCATTGAAGTTAATGGGAGTCTTTTCATTGACTTCAGTAGGCTCTGAATCGCTACTTAAGGTAGGTTGGCACTTTTCTGATGACTATGAATGGACAACAAGCTTGATCCCCAAATGGCTAATCTGTCCAAATAAAACCTCATATCTGTCTTAGTTTCATGTCACTTAGAATACTTTTCTCATTGTTTTAAGGCTGGCCTAGAAAATAGCAACCTATATACCAAACAGAAGAGTCCTAAAATAAGCATTTAAAATGGATTTGACCTGACACACCAATATTAGTAAATTGCTGAGTTTACCATATCTTTGTTTTCTGCTTTATAAGACATTACTCATTATGATTAAAATATGTTAGAATATGTAGCATATACTGAGCCTGATGTTTCAATGTGCTGTACCTGCCTTAGGAGTGTATTACTCCTGTGAATTAGCATCAGTCTGATATAACATGATGGGGAATCAGATCAATGGAATCAAATTCTGCCAGAAAGAACAGTTTGTCCCAAGAAGTCTGTATTACTCCTACAAGTTAAGAAAGTTAAGAAAACACTCACAAATTACTGTAATACCATTGACTATGTTTGTTATTATACAATATCACAGGGTGAATATGTTGGAAAGCAAAATTAGTATTTTTAATATTAAATAGAAGGTCAAATTTAGACTCTAAGACAATTTGGAAATTGGCTGGAAACCAATGCTTGGTACAATTGTAACAGCCCCATGTGTCACTGAACCACTTTTAAATGCAGTTTAGAAAAATCTGATTAATATGAAGAGTATTAATCCCTTCACATTAAGTGTCTCTTCCCTCTATCTTCATTTGAACAAATAGAAGACAATAACTACCTCATTATAGTTCTACTTCTCCCACCCCTTTGTGTCTAAAATATATTTTAGCTTTGAGGATCAAGAGCTTTGTGAATCTTTCTTACAGGCAACTCTTAGTCTGAACACATTTATAGGTTCATCCTCTTCCTATTATAATGTATTGTTTCTGTTGCAGTTGCAGCTAGAGACTGTTCATAGTTTCATGGTGCTAGGGGCTGTGTAAATACATGAAAAGACACAAGCTATGTCTTTACTGTAGGCCTGTGCGAAGCAGCAAGTATTCACTTCAGATTCAGCCGATTTGGAGGACAGTGATTTGATTCAGAGATTTGAATCACTGTCCTGATTTGATTTGGCTGAGTTAGATCAAAAAGATTTGGTGTCACTTCAGAGATTTGGCCATAGACTAAACAAGTAGCTGACACAGCTGCCTCTAGCTAGAAAGTCTTTTGGGGTTGGGGGAGGGAGGAGGAAAGGGGTGTGTGGGGGGAGAGGGATTGGGGCTGGGACAAGCTGCCCAGCTGGGGCAGAGGGGCACATTACTCAGGGAGGGGGACAGGAGGGTACAGGATGCGAGCACAGCAGCACTCGCAGTGGGGGCTTTGCCCTGCTGTCACTTGCCCAGTTGGGGTGAGGGTGGGGAGGGATGCAGGTGTGGCTCCTTCCGGGTGGTAGGGGGAAGCAGCAGCCCCCACTCCCAGCACAGATGCAGGCATGGCCTCTGCTGCCACTTGCCTCCTTCTGCCGGGAGCAAGCCACATCTGCATCTTGCCACCCCTGTGCCAGTTGGGCAAGTGGCAGCAGGGCAAAGCCCCCTCTCCAGCACTGCCACAGCCACATCAGTGCTGGGAGTGGGGAGTCTGTGCTGTCACTGCTTGCCAGCCAATGCAGAAGGGTGGGTGCTGTTGCCACTTGCCAGCCGGCACGGGCGGGAGTGTGGGATGCAGGCGCGGCAGCACTGGGAGTAGGGGCTATGCCCTGCTGCCACTTGCCCCCTTCTACGCTGAGCGAGCCACTCCTGCATCATGCCTCCTCCCCCACCTCCCCTGGTTGGGCAAGCGGCAGCAGGGCAGAGCCCCCTCTCCCAGCACTGCCATACCTGCATCAGCACTGGGAGCGGGGACTCTGCACTGTGGCTGCTTGCCAGCTGGCATGGGAAGGCATGGGATGCAAGCGCGGTAGCACTGGGAGTGGGGGCTATGCCCTGATGCCACTTGCCAGCTGGCATGGGGGAGCACAGGATGCGGGCGAAGCAGTGCTGTGAGTGGGGGCTATGCCCTACTGCCACTTGTCCCCTTCTGCCCAGAGTGAACCACATCCACATCCTGCCTCTCCCAGCCAGGCTTAGCAAGCAGCAGCAGGGCATAGTCCATGCTCCCAGTGCTGCTGTGCCTGCATCCCGCATCAACTGCCCTGCCCAAGTCCTGTGCCCTGCACCCCGGCTGGGCAGCTTGTCCCAGCCCAAATCCCTCCCTCCCCCATGCCTGTTCCCTCCCCCATCCTCCAACCCCAACAGACTTACTGGCTGGAGGCAGCTGTCAGCTGCCTGTTTAGTCTATGGCCAAATCACCAAATCGTTTCTGAATCTCTTTCTGAATTGATTTGGATGCTTTGAATCAATTCAAAGCTTTTAATTGTTCTTCTGATCCAATTTGGATTTGGAATTTTGGTCCCCAAATTGGGCCAAATCTCCTCCGAATTGAATCGACTAACGAAGCTTCACACAGCCCTACTTTACTGCCATCACACTAGTGATTACCATGTAGTGTGAGGAGTATAAACTAGCCACAGGAGTGTGGGCTAATTTTACTTTGCTGAGGAACAGAGGATAAATTGTCCCATGCTGAACTTCAAACTGCTTCAGTTAAAACTGCTACCAGATCCTGTGCTAGCTAGTTACAACTAGCTCGTTTACCTGTACGGTTCCCTGCCGTCACTTCTGTAGCTGCCGTGTAAGCATACGCACAATCGCAAGGGCTTGCAGTCTAAGGCAAAATTTTGGTAAATCCAGACAAAATACATAGTAACTCAATATTTTAAGGCTTGGATGTTTACAGTGTATGTTCCCATGTTACTGTATATCTGTTTCTCATTTTATAGCTTCATTCGGATATTGATTCTGGGGATGGAAACATTAAATACATTCTCTCAGGTGAAGGCGCAGGAATCATTTTTGTTATTGATGACAAATCAGGGAACATCCATGCAACAAAGACACTGGACCGGGAAGAGAGAGCTCAATACACTCTAACAGCACAAGCTGTAGACAGGAACACTAACAGACCTTTGGAACCACCTTCAGAATTCATTGTTAAAGTTCAAGATATAAATGACAACCCACCTGAGTTTCTTCATGAAAACTACCATGCCAACGTGCCAGAGAGGTCCAATGTAGGTATGTACAGAAAAACACAGGCATAGTTTCCATTTTTGGAGCTTTGACATCTCAACTTGAACTGAGTATCATCTTCCAAACTTCGGGAGGTAAATTTTATTTGGTCTCAACTAATTGCTGAAATATTATCAGAGAGTCAGAACAAATGGCTGAAGACTTCAAGCTCTGCTACAGAAACTGAAAATGACTGTGAGAGTAGCAGTTCAAGCACTTCAGGAAATAGGGTCGTTCTTCCAACTAAAAGACTATGAAAAGGCTCTAACCAGGATTTGTGGTTCAGGGTGTACAATGCTGTTCATTTCCTTGACTGAGTTGCTTAATGAAGCCATAAGCTAGGGAATGATACCATATTTTCCCATATATTTTCTCCTGGTTTAAATCAAGCAAGCAACACAAAGCCTACCTCTGCTTTGGAGAATCCAGTTATCAACATTCCTGTGAACCTATTTGTGCAGATTGTAGCTAAGTGAATGTAGCTAACCCTAGCAAACAGGCTGTCTTGGGTGGCTATTTATTATCAAAAGTAGTAGTATGCAATCTTTGCTAAAGAAAAAGTATCTGATGGAATAGAAATTCCCTGGTCAGAAATGTTCATTAATTCCTTTTACAGTCTTTTATTACTTCCTTGCAAAATTGCTTTAAGCATTATGGAGATTCTGTTGCTTAGTATATAAATTGCAAAGTTAGTCCCAGTAATTATTAAATCTAAAGAATAAAATTTGGAGACAGCCATGCATACCAGGCACCTCTGTGCTTTAGCTGAAAACATCTTAGAGTGGCTTTTACAAATGCATCTACTTTTAACAAGCATTCCTTTTTCCCTTTCTGTCCTATTAAGGTACATCAGTTATTCAGGTAACAGCCTCAGATGCTGATGATCCTACCTATGGGAACAGTGCCAAATTGGTTTATAGTATTCTTGAAGGTCAACCGTACTTCTCTGTGGAAGCTCAAACAGGTATTACTGAACAAGGTTTATTTGTGTGGACTATTATAACTTTTTAGAGTCTGTTAAAATGAAGAATTATACATATTAGTTCAGACTTTCAGTGACAGCCAAGGGTGCGTGTAGTGTGCGTGTGTGTGCGTGCACACGTGTGTGTGTGTGTGTGTGTGTGTGTAGATATCTTTACATCACTTCATTCTCCCTCAGTTCTGGCTGAGCTGTTCAGTAGATTCATCTCCTGGAATATTTTAAAGCATCTAGGGACCTTTATACTAAGGAGCTGTCACTGAGACAGATCCATTCCCCTTGTGCCATGGTGATGGTATAGAAACTATGTAGGCTCTGTGCCATGGAGAATTCCCCCAAGTACTCATAGGTTCAGCTGTGCCTGTATAGTATGCAATGTTCAAAAGATAAGGGAGAATTTGGCCACTGCTGGTATACACAATAAGTGTGGTGTATCTGCAAGGCACTGTAAGAAATGCAGGAGCTGCTTTTCATTATTTAAAAAAAATAAAGTTGTTTATTTTTATTTTATTTCTAGGCATTATTAGAACTGCCCTTCCCAACATGGACCGTGAAGCCAAGGAAGAATATCATGTTGTAATACAGGCAAAGGATATGGGAGGACACATGGGAGGACTCTCAGGGACAACCAAAGTGACAATTACACTAACTGATGTCAATGACAACCCACCAAAGTTCCCACAGAGTAAGTGGCAAACCCTTTACGAAATAACAGCAGTTACTAACCATAATATAAAGCAGTTATACCCTCTGGAGAAATGCTGAGAAGTGGAGTATTGCAACATGCATATGAGACCAGTATTATTTTCCCAGTTTTACTAATGGCATGCTGAGACATTTAAATGATTTGTCCAGTGCAACAAAGTGAGTCATTTTCAAAGCCAGGATTAAAGCTCAGGAGGCTTCTAGCTCCATATTTCATTTTTAAAGCCACTGGACCATTTTATATTAAAAACATACCTATGGTGAGATCAGTCAGCTGTGGTCTAGACTTCTATAGAAAGGAGGGAAGTCCCTATCACTGAGTCAGCTACCGGTAGGCTGGCAGAAGCACTGGAAAATATGCTTTAAGGGAAAGACTTGCACTGCAGTAGTGATTACCTAGGAGAGCTTGATATATATCTTACAACTCCATTTTTCATGATGTGCATGCTGAAAAAGTAAAAGATTGCTCAGAGTAGAGGTCCTGTGTTTAACATTCTGCTTACACTATAACAACCAGATGAAATCTTTGATAGTCTGCCAAAAGTATGATGAAGGAAGTGGTACAAGAGTTAAAAGACTAGGTCTCTAAACTCTCACATCCTGTGTGTCAGAAACTTCATTTTGGAGATGTACAGTGATCATGGGGTACACCGTATGGCAGCCTATACACTCAAGAAGGCTCCTGCTAGGAGACAGACAGCACTCTAAGGAGGTTTGCACATGGCTTTGCCCTCTGCCTTTCAGCTCTCCCTGGCTAAGTACAGATGTTCAAAAAGGCAGAGGTGGAATTGATAAGACTTATGCAGGTTTCTGTAAGTGTTAGGTCAGGAGCGAACAGAACACACATTCACACTTTAGGGGAGGGTGGCACGCAGGTTGCCTGCACTGGCCAGGCCAGGAGATTGGGGGCACTTCTGCATGCCTGCCAATGGGCTTTCTGGGCTGCTAGAGACTACTGAGAGGAGCTGAGTGGTTGGGCCATCCCTGATTGGCTGCCAGACACAGGCAAGCATGCTTCCTTGCCTCCCGCATCATTGTCAGCTACAGGCTTCTGTCAACTGCAGGCTGCTCGCCCATCCCCTGCAGCTCGGCCGTGCTCCCTGTGGCTGTGCCTATTCACGGGGGCACGGGGATCTGTGGGTGGGCTCCCACACACCCACCCAGGGACCCCATGCCCCTATGAGTGGGGGCAGCCACAGGGAGCCTGACCAGGCTGCAGGGCATGGGTGAGCATGCCTACTCCCATATCATTGTCAGCCACTTGGCTCCGAGAGAGCCTGGTAGGAGGGCTGGCTGGGCACTCAGGGTGGCTGGGCATACAGGGCAAATGGTAGTACACCTGCCTGCAAGGGGAACTAGTAGGGATCCACAAAGGCACCTGGGATACTGGCAGACAGTGACCTGAGTGACAAGAATCTGGTACAGAAGTTCGATGCACTGGTCTAGCCTAAATCAATTAAGTTTGAGTACACATCGATCCAGGTCTAAAATAGACCAGGTTCCACCATTTTTAAACTAGTTTATGCACACCAAATTTCTGTACTGTTATGGGTTTAGACCAGTTTCCGAGCACTTATACTAATAAAAGTGTAATGGCGGTACCTATTTGGCCCAGCTATTTCCAAACTACAGCTAAGCTGTGCATCCACTTCTATCAATAACATTGAGGTAACTAGCCCTGTGGCCCTGTGAGCTCTTGCTTACAAGAGCTTATAGTTTCATAGTTTCATAGTAGCTAGGATCAGGAGGGACCTGAACAGATCATCCAGCCTGACCCCCTGCCACAGACAGGAATGAATGCTGGGTTCACAAGACCCCAGACAGATGACCATCCAACCTCCTCTTGAATTTGCCCAAGGTAGGGGCGAGGACCACTTCCCTGGGAAGTTGGTTCCAGATTTTGGTCACCCTAACTGTAAAATATTGCCTTCTGATCTCTAACCTAAACCTATTCTCCATCAGCTTATGACCATTGTTCCTCGTCACCCCAGGTGGTGCTGGGGAGAAAAGGGCTCTGCATATTTGCTGTTGTTCTCCCCTGATGAGCTTGTAGGCAGCCACCAGGTCCCCCTCAGCCTCCTCTTGCTGAGGCTGAACAGGTCAGGTCCTGTCCTGCTGCCCTCTCACCAAGCGGGTGGCCCTCCTCTGAACCCTCTCCAGGCTGGCCACATCCCTTTTGAAGTGCGGCGCTCAGTACTGGATGCAGTATTCCAACTGCGGCCTGACCAAAGTCACGTAGAGGGGAAGTATCACCTCTCTGGACCGACTTGAGATGCACCTTTGGGTGCATGACAAGGTATGGCTGGACATGCTGGCTGCGGTCTGGTATTGGCGGCTCATGTTCATCTTGGAGTCAATAATGACTCCAAGATCCCTTTCTGCCTCTGTGCTTTCAAGAGGGGAACTCCCCAGCCTGTATGCATGCTGTGGATTTCTTCTCCCAAGGTGCAGCACCTGCATTTGTCTACGTTGAACCCCATCCTATTCTTGTCTGCCCACTTTTGTAGTCTGTAGCTTATACATCTGTAGCTTATACATCTACAATTCACTTAGTCTATCAGGTGTATCTCTACCCTGTCTTCTGTCTCTCTTCTGTTTACTGATGGATATAGGCAGATGATGTATGCTATTTCACGTCGGCTGCACCCTCCAGTGCCTAGGAATTTCCCAGGCTAGGCATATCTTGCTTATCTTGGCCTGAGATGAAAAAAAAACATTGCACATCCTGCTAACAATTTTTTCAGCTCTTAGATGACCCAAGAAGTGAGTGAACATCGTGCTTTTCCATTTTAAGTATTTTTCAATAATACTGTCTTTACTTGTATAAAATTAAGGACTGTTCATATAGTCCATGGTTGCAGGATGGACCATCACTCCCTTTTGATTAGTTTTGTCTACAAATGGCAGAACAAATCAAAATAAGCTCAATTAAAATTTCAAAATGGTGGTATAAGCATGCTCATTAGGCCAAATAAGGTTTTTGATGGCCAAGCTGACTATTCAGTTTTCACATGTATTTGATCTCATTTAATTATTCTCCACTGAATTTAGCAAAATTAGTCTTCTGAACTGAATGGACGCATAGGCATGGCCCCTCAAAACTAATCCTATTCTCAGGGCAGGGCAGGGGGATTCTGTCATCCATTGTCTGCTGTATTTAATATCACTGGATAATGTGAATAAATAAAACAATAAATAAATAAAAACAATACATAAATAAATAAAACTCCCTTCTCCCTACTCACAAAGAAACTTGATATCTTTGGGCTATACAAATGTACCCATTTAACACACTACATACCTTTAATGCCCTAATGATTTTCTAGCCACAGCTCATACCTGTATTGTTTAATATACTTTGGTTATGTGTTTTGTTTTCTGACTACAGCTAGGGTTTTGGTTTGTTGGGTTTTTTTTGCTTGCAATTTTTTTTTTTGCAGTTAATGAGACAAGTTCAAGCACGGTAGAATGCGGCTGATGTGTATACAATGTTAGCAGGCATGGATTTATTCCAGTATATTTCTACTTCATGGCTGCATGCTTTTCTGATTATACTCATGTCAACACCAAGGCTATTGGTAATGCAAAGAATGCTGAAATAGTTAACATGTGTGAGTCAAAACATTTAAGCTCAGATATGGGCAAGGGGCAACAGGAGCTGTTGATTGTGATTTTCCTGGAAACCCTTGTATATAGGGAGTGTGCTTATATTGCAGCCTTCTTTCTGCAGGAATGTATCCTGAGGTCAGTGGGTTGTATAGTCTATCAGTTCCCTTGAACAAGGGCTGCTGATGTATCCATCCTGTTTAAGTACAGCTTTAAGGTAGAAAAACCTCCTCATTCTTTTCTTTATGCACACACAAGTGAGTGCATACTGACCCATATGATGTTTCAGTATTTTCAATGAATACAAGTTCATTTTCTAAGTTAGAGCTTTAGGAAGCAACAGATTTATTCCTTTAGATGACACAGCAGGGAGGTCTGATCCAAATCCTGCTCCATAATGTGTGGCTTCTGAATGAAGGGGAAGGTACTTTGCTAGACTTCTTGGAACTGAAGGTCGTACCATGAGTCATTTGAAATGTAATTTTTCTCTCAAGTTTTGTAATAACGTGCCTCATATGAATGATAACTCTATGTCACAATAATTCCTGCATTCTGACTGAATGACTATTTGGCCTTTTAACTGCTCTAGGAGCATTTGAAGTAAAGGTTGTAGTATATTAAATTGGGAAGGTAATTTTAACGTATATGGATTACCAACACAGTCTAAGCTTTCACATATGATTTCTATTTCAAAGAAATTTCTAGTATGACCATTCCTTTGGAGGACAACACTACTGCATTTGCTTAATTTGAAAATTAAACCATTTCTTGTTCTTTCTTCACACACACGAATAGAATGAGCCAAACTACAAATACTGGAAGAAGCCACCTGAATATGTACATTATGATTATTTTGGCATAGGTGTGTACCAGATGTCAGTATCAGAAGCAGCCGTTCCAGGTGAAGAAGTAGGAAGAGTGAAGGCCAAAGATCCAGATATTGGAGAAAACGGCTTAGTGAGCTACAGCATCATTGATGGAGATGGTATGGATATGTTCGAAATTACAACGGATTATGAGACTCAGGAAGGTGTTGTAAAGCTTAAGAAGGTAAACAATGCTGCTCTTTCCAACTTCTCACTGTACTTCTCACTCTTCATTTCTTTTCTGAGATAAACTAGAACAGCAGTAGATCAGTACTCAAGCTAAAATTATGATAAATGCAATTTTATGTAATTTGTTTATGAAGCTGTGATTAAGTTTCAGTATCCCATTTCACTGTTATCTAATCATGCCTTGAACCGGAATGGAAGGGCATACTTATGAACAGAAAGCAGCATTACATAAAGACTTTACTGTGCTTTTTAACATATTTTTAGTCTTTAAAGTCATTCTGTGCCCAGCTGCCACTTGAGCAATCAACACCTTTTGCTCCTCAAGACATACGGAGTATTAAATCAGAAATAAATGCTGGGATTACTTTGGTTTTAATCAAGTATTCATTTTCAAGTTGACAGTGTCACCTGAATTTTAAGAATTGTGCAAAACATAGAGGGTTTGTATTTTGATTTTTTTTACACTGTTTTTTAAAATCACCATTCCTTCCCTGACATTTTGTATATATAGAAATCAAAGGGTAGGGGTGCATGGCATGAAAAGGGTAGTGCTCTCTACTTTATGATTCTGTGAAAGTAAGAAAAGCACATAGCACAATCTTATATCCCTATCAAATGATTCTGCAGTTTGACTAACTTAGACTCATCTCAAATAGTTTGTGTCCACAACCCTGAAACAGTTCCCTTTGGATACATTGCTAATGTGACTGCAAATAGCAGTCTGGACACCTAATAGAAAGCCATGCTAAAATAAATTTCTATTCTAATAAAGCCTTGCACAGCACTGAAACCAACCAAACACTTTGTGTTGGTTTAACTTATATTGAGATGGCCCCAGGTTCTCTGTTCTTTACATCACTAGAAAGTGTTGATCTCAAATTGTCATTCTAAGAGCTGTGGCATCACTGCCCTTCAGCTCAGGGGCAAGTGAAACTGTACATGCAACAACTAAGACAAACTCAGGCATACTCCCCAAGGGTGAAATCTGGAGCCTCTTATGCACTCATTTCCTTACTCTCAAAGCAGGGTAAAAATAAGATTGGATCCAAGTTAAGAATTGGCATTTCTGAGCGGTCATGGTCCTAAGAATTCACATGAGCACTTGCTACAAGCTCCCTTCTCTGGCTTCAGTCCTGTACCTTGAGGGCCAAGCAGCAATGTCTCATTAATGCAGAATTTTATTCCACTGCACTCCCTGCTTTGCTCATTACCTGTTACCTTCTGCAATATGCACCTGTGCTATGTGAATCATAGCCCAAACAGCTGCTAATGTGGAAGAAATTGGACATTTATCTATTAACTGGCCTGCTTCTAAATCAATTTTTATGGGGATAAACTGTTTTTTTTTTCAAAATCAGGACCTCAACTGGGAAGAGGGGGTTCTTTTCCATACTGTCATGCCATGGACATGCCTGCCAGCTTAATAAAATCTCTAATATAATAAGAATATGCGCCTAAGAGATGAGTAGTTGAATCTCTAGTGTAACAATGTTGTTACTCTGTTGCATCAAAAAGGCAATACCTGGATTTGAACAAACAAGCAAATATGACAAGCAAACAAATCAGTGCCCTGTGTTATTCCCACCCTAACGATGTAACATCTGAGATCGGTGTCTCACATCAGCTACCAAACCTACAGGTTTTAATCCAGTGCAGTACCAAGTAGTCCTGTGAGACTCTAAGCAGTCTCCACTCCTATTGCTTTCAGTGAAAATTGAGAGTGATAACAAGAAGTGCTCAGCATTTAGCAGGTCCAAGCCTAGTTTTAATAACAGAGAAGAAATGGATATGGAAACCTCATCTTCCCATACCCTATGAATGCAACCCACATCCTAGTAACTAATTAACAAGGGATAATAGGATTTAATCCCATGTTTCTGTCATGCCAGTACTGAGAAATCTGTTGCTTTTTAAGTATCCATTCAAGCAGTACAGAATCAGGGATGTTTGTGTATTCCTAGTCTATCACCAGATCCTCAGCTAATGAAATAATTACAAAGCTAATGCCCCTACAATATTTAGATAACAATGTGTTTTAGTACAGTCAACTGAACTGGAATTTATCAATTATCCTGTCGCATTTCTTTTTGAAAAAGGAGCCTCCTTATACCCAATTTCATTGCTGCTATTAGCTCTCAAGGTCTCATATAGGATCCCAGCTGCTGACTAGCTTATGCCAAATATTTCAGATGCATTAGATTATGTGCCTGAAAGCTGTAGTGCTTGTTGGGTTCAATAAACATAGGCCTATGTGAATGAGAAGAACTACACAACAGGATTTATTTTGGACCAGTAAGCAAGCCCTATGTCTGCCTCTGACTAACTGGCTTAATTGAGAAACAATCTCCCAAGTCCCAGCTCTTCTCAGAACTTAGAAACTCCTCCAGTTTTCAACTCTTCCCAGTCTCCTTAGTTAGGGAACATCTTTAAATTATAGTTTTTATCACTATAGAAGTATGCCTAGAACAATCTTTAGTATGAATTGTCATTTCCTTGCTTCCTCAAGCATGAACGTATGAAAGACAACGTGTTATATTTTTCATTTCCTTTTCATACGTGTCCTGAACCAGCAATTTTCTGCTAGTATCTTAATATTTATATATTAAGGGCTGTTCTGTTCACCTGTTGAGAACTGGCTATTCAATTCAGAAAGACACCATGCTAAGCACAAATACAATTTAGTTAATAGTTTTATCATTAGGAAGAGCTTTATGATCTGGTAACTGTGTCAGATGATCAATGCCAGTATCTGTTTCCCTTATATATGCCAGATCCTCAACTCTGTGGTAGCTATTTGGTTCCAGTTCACCACCATCGACACTCAAGCAGATGGAGTCAGCTTCTGGAGCATTCACTATTTAGCATAGGGCCACTACAGCTTCTCTTCCTGGGTGGGAGGCTTGTTTGGCATAAAAAGGAGAGTTACGGCTCTTTTCTGCTCTACCTTGGGAAAGCCACCTCCTTTCCTTACTGCATCCTCCTCATAACATACTCTTGGTGCTGGAACTGCAAATCAGTAAGGACATCCCCAGCTGAGGAGAAGGGGATGGTTTCCAGAGCAACATAGTGAATTCAGAGCAGGACAAGGGGTCTTCCTCATTGTTTAGCCTTTTTCTTCACAAAATTGGTGGTGTAGCCCCTTTCTTTCAATCTGTATGACATTTTTCATAGACATTATAGACATTAGGGGCTGGAAGGGACCTCAAGAGATCATCAGGTCTAACCCCAAATATTTTAAAAGTTTCATACACTTGGCTCCAGATATATTGAAACCTACCATGTATCTGTTTTATAAGCATTCTGTTGTCAGGCACTAAGGAATTGCTTATGACCATATATGTTGACTCTTAACTTTCCAATTTTGTTAGCTCTGTCCAATGAATGCACCATCTTCTTACAGGTCTTAGATTTTGAAACCCAGAAGTTCTACAGTCTGAAGGTAGAAGCAGCCAATGTACATATTGATCCTAAGTTCATCAGCAATGGACCTTTCAAGGATACAGTTACTGTAAAGATTACAGTGGAGGATGCTGATGAGCCCCCTATCTTTTTAGCACCCAGTTATATCCTTGAAGTACAGGAGAATTCAAATCTTGGTACTGTGGTTGGAAGAGTACATGCCAAAGACCCAGATGTTGCAAACAGTGCTATAAGGTATACTCTGTTTGTATGGCTACATGGGTGCATGGATGGATGGATGGATAGATAGGTAAATAGATAGAAGTTGACTTTTTCAGTTGGTACACAGGATTAGGTGACCTCCTAAATTTTGGAAGGAACAATATTAATGAAAATGTAAATAAGTGCAATGATATAGTATGTTTATATACATCTTTGCATAAGATGTCCTTTTCCACATTTTCTCAGGGTCATATAATTAGGAAATGTTTGATGTAAATGTGTCATAGCTGTGTTTGCATTTTAGATATTGCAGTATTCACAGAAACCAATTACCATTATATGGTATATATGCCATAAACTACCAAACAGGTACTATTGTAGGATTTTTTTTCTACCAGTGCAGTTGCAATAGAAATAACTGTTAACTTTTAATTCCAAGTTACAGCTTTCCTCTATACCCTCTTTCTTCTGAGTATTTCACATGTGTGTTTTATAGTTTCATCTCCTCACTATTAACTAAGGTATAAAGCTATTTAAAATGTTTATTTGGCAAAACATATACTACTAAGTGGATGTTTGAAAACTGTGGTAAAACAAGCAATATAATAGGCAATATACTATAAAACAAACAGTTAATCACCATGCCAGTAAATAATTCTTATGTTTAATTACGAAATTTCAATCTCTTTTAGGTATTCAATCGATCGTCACACTGACCTTGAAAGATATTTTAGTATCAATCCAGAAGATGGTTACATTAAGACCATAAAACCTCTGGATAGGGAAGAAATTGCCTGGCATAACATCTCTGTCTTTGCAACTGAAGCTCGTAAGTTTTCCACTGAGGATTTTAGCTCAGTCATACAAGTGCTGTATTGCTCTCATTGTTTATATGACATACAGCAGCTGAAATAATACAAAGCAGAAATGCTTCATTTTTTATTTTTTGATTTTGTTGTACTTTGATAGAACCAAAATAGCATTTTTGTTTCCATTTTATTTTATTTATTAATTTTTTCTTATAGACAATCGACACCAGGAAGCCAAAGTTCCTGTAGCAATTAAGGTCCTTGATGTCAATGACAATGCTCCAAAATTTGCAGCAGTCTATGAAGCATTTATTTGTGAAAATTCTCAGAGCAATCAGGTATCATTTGTCTGTTATGTTCCCCTGGCCAGCACATTCTTTCTTTAGGGGTTTGAGCTCTGCTTTGTGTGGGAGTTAGCAGCTGGGCTGTTATTTTAAAGTTTTGGCATAGGTACTTTGAACAAATAAAGAAGCACTTTTTTGTTTGCCAGCAGAGGTGAAACAAAACAGTACAAACCCACAACACTTCAAAGACTACATTCTGAATGGTACAGCTCATAAGCATATGCCAGCATTCATACAGCAGAAGCACAATTATAGGGCATTCAGACAGTAGAAAGATGCACTGCTTTCTGGAACAGTGTAGCCCAAACATGTATACATTCACACTCTGTCCACATTAAACCAGTTAAGATTATCCTTCCTATCACTAGCTTTTGGATAGGGTTAGCATCAATTAGAAGAGTAGAGGCCAACTTTTTTGGCAGGTGTGCCACAAATTAAGCCCCTTGCTCTCCTGAGTGCCACTCCAATCTCCTTTCTTGGTCCAGTCTGCTGCCTGGCTTTCTGTTCCATGCCCTGTTCTTCCTGTCTGATCTGCTGCTCTGCTTTCCACTCCTTGCCCTATCTGCCACGGTGCTGCCTGTGCCCTCTCTGATGTGCCGTGTGCCACACACAGAGACTGCCCATGCCACTTGTGGCACATGTGCTGGATGTTGACATCCCCTGAACTAGAATATGGATCCGTGTATTTTTGGATCCATATTCTATGGATTGCCAGTTCAGGGACATATGCGGATATCCTCAAATCTGCCCAGAATTCATTCATATTGTATTGATTTGTATTGATTAAGTACAGTAATACAAAAGGTAATATATTTAAGCTTTTGTCCTCAGCACATTTATAAGAGTAAATACTTTCCTTTTTCCTTTTTACCTTTGGCTTTCAAAATTCCTAATATTAAAAGGCTTATTAGAATGCAATGTGCAATGTACCCACAAAGGATCTACTTGTTTACAGACTACCTTTCTTTTTCAGCCATTTATTACAATTACTGCTGATGACAAGGATGATGCTGCCAATGGACCAAGATTTATCTTCAGTTTACCACCTGAAATTATTCATAATCCAAATTTTACACTCAGAGACAACAGAGGTTTGTAGCAAGGTTCATTATATACTTGTGTCTAGAGAAGTGAACATAGAAAAGTAATGACAATTATAATATAATACAGCAATATTTCCATTAACCTTGACTGCCTATCTGCCTCTTAAGGTTTGCAGCCCCCTCCTCCCCAAAAAACACCAAACCAAACAATAACAATTGGATGGGTAGAGATTTTCCTTGGAATATTACAGTGCATGTTCACCGTCCTTAATATTATAAAGACACGTGGTAGGTTTCATAATCTCACACATAATATAAATCATATACATGCTATAATAGTTCCACAAATTCATGATTATTAACATGATTATTTTCCTGCCACAGAAACCGAAGTATTTAATTTTCCAGGAAAGTATTTTTAAAAATTGAAGCGTAGTACTTGAGAAAGAACTAGCTTGTTTCTTAAGATTGTGGTCCCAGTTGTATTGATTTAAATCATGAAATCAAAGAGGTTACTCCAGATTGTCATGATCATAAAAACACAGGGGAGTACTGAGCCACTCAATTCACCCATGAAATTCTCTGTTTTAAAATTTACTAGACTTATAAAACTAACTGCCTTATTTTGGCACCTTTTCCTCCTTCCTGAATATTAACCTGAAAGAGAAATACCATCAGAATTCACTGGCCAAATATCTTGCAGTGCACTTAATAAGACTGAAGGACTATGGGTACTTAAAATTAAACCTCAATCTGGAACAGCCAGATATGAAACAGATAAAGGTCCCTGCATACAACATACATTTATTTTTAAATTTTTTCTTTACTTTAAAATAGTAAACTTAATTGAATATGTTGTTTTAAAAGACAAATAATTTTAAAAAACAAGAACATTTGAGATTCTTCACCTGAGATCTTGTAGGCCAAGTTTCACCTTGAAAGGTATTTTATGGCCATTGTATCAGTCTCTGGGAAGGACAAGACTGCACAGACAGATAATGGGCTAGCCTTTCACCTTTAAAGACCTGTTTCAAATTGAGATTAGGAATGAGTTTAGCAGTATCAGTGAAATCCCTAATGGATATTAGTTTGTATCACAAGCCTACCAGAAAAATTGGCATCATTTTGTATAACTGGCAATCGATTCAAACAAATTCAGTTCTAAAATATCAGAGGGGCATCCCAGGTCAGAATTAAGATTCATTGAAACAGCTGCACGGAGATGTTAGCAGTGCCCAACTCCAGCCAGTTCTTTTAATCCTCCATTTCCACATGCATCAAATTCAGCTTTATTTTTTTTTCTTTCAATGAAAAAATTAACCCAGATTGAAGGCTTTATAATGGAAATGCTGGTGGTCTATTGAATATAATGGCTTTATGTGGCACCACTGCAGTAGATTATTTAAAAAAGACAATGGTGTTTTAAGTCCACATAATTTTGTTTTAGAGAAGATAAATAACAGTGTAACAAAATCCTTCCTTTCCTTTTACATTTCTATGTTATATCTCCAGAATTTTTATACATTCTTTAATGTAGTTAATATATTCACCTACATTTTATAAGAAAATTTCACCAGAGTACTTAATTTAACTTAAAAAAAAGATTATTTTAGAATGTGAAATGAAGAAGTTAGACTTCTATGTACTTCAAGATAGTAAACCGTTTCAGGGAGAGGGTGTGTTACAATTTGCAAGTGAAATAAATTATGTGATCATTTAAAGTTTCTTTTTCATTTGTAAATCAGAGTAATTTTTGTATCATGCCACTTTTCAGAGGATATTGCTAGTTTCAAAGAAAAATGGCTTTATTAGCTGTGGAGACCAGTTAATGAAAACTCCAATGTTTAGGTCTATTACAGAACTTTATAGTGAGTACAGTCCTATAATTATCATTTAATAGAGTTTCTTTCTACCAGCTCCAGAAGTAATTACATATTGCAGTAATCCAAAAAAGTAATCACATTCTATATCCTATTAATAGCCTACTGTGTTACCGAGTTTTTCAGCTGAGACTATTTTCCATAGAAAACATGAGATAATGGGTTATCTCACGCTGTGATAAAGCATCAAATTACTTGAGCGCTGAGTGTTTATTTACATGATACCATGTAAGTAAACATCAGTACGTTTGCCCAGACCGTGTATACATTTGATGTCTGACCCTATTTCCATTGAAAGTAGGGTGTTTTGAAAGGCCTGTACTAGCTTTGAAAAAAACTAAAATAAAGCGCCAGATTGCTCAGACATGCATTTCCTGCTTTTAGCCCCAGATCCACCCTAAGGCCATTGTGACCAATTCATCTTGTGAAAAGAGCCAGCAGAAGACCAAATATAGTTAACAGAGTTAAAAGTGGTGTCTTAGCCTTGTACAGTCCTCTACAGAAAGACCAATTTTCTCCTCTTACTCCTTGTCACCGATAATTTGAAATAATATTCTGGAATGGATAAATATATAAAAAGATTTCCTAAGGACTCAGGATCCAATCGCACTGCCATTGAAGTGGTGAAATTCAATCTTATTTCAATACCAACATGCTCGCAGACTTTCAGTGGCACATCTTTGATCCTTTGAGACCTTCAATAATAGATGTGTTCACTGGTGCGATTCTCCTTTTTTTTTTTCTATCATGAAATTTTCCCCAGTAATAATCACTGCCTGATGGTGATTCAAGGCAATTAGAACCAGAAGGTCATTTGGTCCTCCCTGCTGAGTCAACCCTGTCACCTCTGAAAAAGTAGATAACAGCATGCACTCTGCAGTTAGCTTCCCTTATCAAACAACTGTTTGTTTCTTTAAGAAAAATGCATTAACAGTATAATAGAACTAAAATAACAGTCACTTTTATGGAGAAAGGAACTTGGAAACCTTTGGCAAGACTCCTAGAGGCAAAGAGGAAAAGGAAAGATTTGGAAATAAATAATGGTGGATGTGATGCCATTTTTACTTTCAATGCTAATAATTTCACAAAGACTACTGGTGACCTTATCACTTTGTGATACCTGGCTGATGGGGTTCCTCAGAGAACAGAGACTGGAAAAATGAAAGTCTTTCTTTCATAGATTGTAGCAAGAAGGTATTTGGGATTGTGTTACCTTAGATTGCTAGCCAAGTAGTTGCAACTTGGGCTATGTCAGAAAAATATAGGACTATTTTGTTCAGTTGCGGTTTTTTGTGTTTCTTGGCTTAAAAATATCACTTTACCTGGATCACAAATTACGCTGTATTTTTGCACGCAGAGACATGAAAATGATGAACGTACTATTCTGGATCATATAATATCTTTATCTTAATAAGCTTTTCCTGTCTCCTTCAGATAATATGTTCTTTCTGGACATGAGTCATGGACATGAGGAAAGTAGAGGAAGCAACTAATCTTTCCTATGGGTTGCAATGATGTTGTAACCACGATGGTACAAGAAATATTTGAAAAGCAAGGATTTTTGCAGCTTATATCTTTTTATTGGGCCAGCTGCATGATTAGGATAGACACAGACAAGCTTCTGAAAGCAGTGCATTTTTCTTCCGGTCAAGTAAATGTTATCTGACCTGAAGAAGAAAGATTGTTTAAGTCTATCCCAACCATGCAGTTGGTCCAGTAAAAGAGCACCCACAGAAACCCTGATCTTTCTTTGTTGCTTTTGATTGGCCCTCCTTTTTACTCTTTAAAAATGTTTAAATAAGCTTCAGAGTTTTTTTCTGACTCCCTGGAATACCTGGAGGCTGATGCTGTTTAATGAGAAGTAATTTGTTGAGGTAAAAATGGGATCTTTCAGTTATGTTCACCCAGTTTTTTTTATCGGACTTACCCATTCTAAACCTTGGCTCGTGATTACAGATTAAATATGGAAAAACTTACAAGACTGTATAAATAGCCTTGGTATTTAATTACTTCTCATTTAGTGGGCAGAGGGTGGGGGTAAGAATACTTAGAAAAACACAGAACCAGGAATTAAGTTAGATATGGGAACAAATTCAGCCATGGGGTAATTCTATCCAATTCCCTGGAGTTTTGCCAACTGACATCTGGGCTGAAAGTTTGCCATCTTTTTCTTATTTCTAGTGTTGGAATATTTTTTACACTTCCAAGAGCTAGCAAAAGTATAGTGCATTTCAAACTATCAGCTTACAGAGCTAAAATTTACTGTATGTATAGCACAGTTATTGCTACATATTAATTTGATGAACTCTGCACAAAGTACAATCCAAATTGCCAGTCCATACAAGGTATTCAGAGTGGAAATGATCTTCTATCGTATGGCACAGAAGAAAAAGGTGACTATGGCTTAGATCTTTGATTTGTGTCCTATCTATATGGTAATATTACATTGAAGTTTCATTACCATAAGGTAATCAAATCACCAAGGGAATTAGCCGATCAGATAATACTATAAATTGTAAGTATTTTGATTGCCTAGCAGATAACAATTTGGGATTTGTTGGATCTGGAAGTAGTGCTCTCAAAGCCTCATCTGTAGTTTTCAGGCAGCTGCATCCACTACAGCAGAAGTAACCCTCCTCCATCAGTCTGCGAGTTTCTTTGTCATGATGGAAATCTGTCCTCTCGTGAGGCTTTATTTGCCTGAGAAGAAATGGATCAGTATCTGCAGAATAGAGAATGCAGTGGAATGGTGTGACTGTATGTCAATATGCAACATATTAGTTGCTGATTTTACTTAAAGCTAAAAATGCAGATAAGACACGAGATGCCAAATTTCAAGAGACAGCACATTGTTGCGAGTCTATTCAGAACTCCAAAAAAAAAAGCCCAAATGACCAGTTCGTGCCCACTATGAACATGCAAAACAGCTGTCCCATCTGGCAGGACTCAGCTGCCTCTGGAAGCATACTTGTCTTCTGGTATAGCAGAGCCCTCCTCATTCAGGCTGAGGTCTGTGCTAGAGGTGAGTGCACAATGCATGGCCAGTGTGAAGAGGGCCTAGGTGACAGTGGAAAGATAGATCAAATAGGACTTGTATGGAAAAGAGCTGAGCAGTATCATCCTTTCCATGAACCACTTTTGCTGGATTCCATCTTCAAAAAAGCTAGAGGGCATGCGGCTTGGACAGATAACATTCAATCTGGTGTAGAAAAGGAGCAGGCAAACAAAAGGAACTCCTACACTGGAGTATCTTTGCCTAGTTTTTCCAAAGAAAGAGGGGTAAAACTATACCAGTGTAAATACCTTATACCTGTGTAAAGATCATGTTTCCAGCAATTTCAAGTGAGTTGTTTGCTTACAGCAAGTAGGCTATGACCCGTTTTCTTGACATCTATCGGCAAGGCTCTGTAATAACAACTACTACATGCAGCTTCCCCAAGCTGGCTGCTCATCTTTCAGCACTGGAGCCCATTATAACTTACTTCAATGTGTGAAAGCAATGTAAGCAACACTGGCACAAATGTGTTATCTGTTCATGCCCACAGAATGAATGTCTTCGCTGTCTTATTAGATGACCCTAATCCCCTACGGACACCTGTAGATCCACCAGGGCTGGCAACTGTGGCAGATATTGTTCCCTTCCTGTAGTAATATGCACAAAGAAATCCCCATCAATTTTTCATTCTAAAAGTTTTCTCCATTAGTTTTAATGTAAGAAACAAGGATCTTCCCATTAGGTCTAATTTATTCACAGCTTTTTATAGAAACGGCACTGGTCAGATCATTAAATGAAGTTTTATGAATCACATTATTACATTCTGAAATTTACGCTGAGTCTTCAACAGGAAAATGATTAATCGCCTGTAGTACCCAAAAGCAGAAGCAAAATGGTGCCATTTGGTCGGAGGAAGGGAACAAACCTTTTTCAGTAGATAAAAGAATTGTTTTACGTTGGTTTTGTTTTTTTTTTTCTCTTAGATGAAGAAGGGGCTGACGAACAGGCTTGGGCAATCTGATCTGGATTTTAAACAAATCAAAACTTTGCTGAGAGTCTGAACAACTTGGAAAAAATTATTTCTGCCACACATCTTAATGGTTTACAGTTTTGTGTGTTCTGGTTCAGGCTGAGAAATACCACAAACTGTGTTCAAGTTTTCGTGGTATTGCCTGACTGACCAGAAGTGGGAAACAATGCAAATTGCATCAGATTTTACATAGTCTTCTGGTTAATTTTGTTGCCCCATACTGGGATAATAATTCGGATAATACTGAGATATTATCCAAACTGAAATTCAGACTGCATCACTAAGATAAAAAGGAAAGTAATGGGCAAGTGTTCACTGTAAACTATAGCGCCAAAAAGCACTTAAATTTTATTCAGAAAAAAAGAAACACTTCAGATTGTTCAGAAAAATGATGTAATTTGTTGTTTAGGTTTTTATGTCATCACGGTTTATATTTTCTTGGATCAAAGAGTCTCACGATGAAATAGTGCTCTGTCAAATATTATTCACTTAAATATGTTTCACCATAATCACCACTCAGAATACTGGAGGTCTTATTTGGCTGTGTGTTGTGTATTTTTAACTTTGATTTCAAATAGTATTGTATTCAGTTAGGATATTTTTTTTCAGCAAGATTTAGTCCTCCGGTTTCTCTTGAACACAAAGATCTTGATACCACGATCAGTGAAACAAAAGCTGCCGATACCAACATTTGGTAAATCAATGGGTGTTCTTCTTTCCACGTCCCCATTGCCTTATTGGCTGAGAACCAGTGTCCTGGCAATGCTTACTCTGTGGCTTAGTGCTGTGGACTGTGAATTCCTGGAAAAGTTGGATGGAGTCCTGTTTGCAGCAGTGAGCACCATAGTCCATTATGATTATTAGCAGAATTGGGTCCTTTCTTGTGACATGCTTATTTTTTTTAAGTGAGGGTTTTTTCTCGCTTTGGAATTGTACTTGTTGAACTGGAATACCTAAAGTAGAAAATTCAGTATTGTGTGTAGCAAAGTATAATACTTAATTGCTCTTGTTGCCATTAGGAAGGAAAGAAAAACTTTACTGATATGAATAAAGCATTAGAAAGGTCAAAGCAACTGCAGCAACTGTATTTATGAACAAGACAAGGCTGAGGATAAATTGTCTGATTAATGAGTATTTCCTTTGTTCAAGCAGATAACACAGCAGATGTTCTCGTTAGACGTGGAGGCTTTAGTCGACAAAAGCAGGACCTATACCTTCTTCCTATTGTTATAAGTGATGGTGGAATCCCTCCCATGAGCAGCACCAATACCCTAACTATTAAAGTCTGTGGCTGTGACAGTCAGGGCTCCATGCTCTCATGTAATGCTGAAGCCTACATCCTCAATGCTGGACTCAGCACAGGAGCTTTAATTGCCATTCTTGCTTGCATCGTGATTTTGTTAGGTAAGGAAAGTCCCTACCTTTTATTCTTTCATTTGCTTGCATTTAAATGTTCATCCAGATTTATCCACATTTGATATTTGTTATATTCTCCCCAAAAGGTCCCCTTCTTTAAAAGCCTTTGCTTCCATTTCTCTGGAGTAATGGTCCTATCGTGCCTGATGTATGCTCTTTATTGTGTTCTGGACAGTATTGATAAACTCTGTTGGGCACCATCTAAATCCCCTTACGAATCATCATGTTACTCAGTCCATAACAGTGGTTAAAAGAGTCTGGGCATAAAGTTTTTGATTTGGGGAGTTTTTTCCAGGTGTCAGGTTCCTTACTGTGCTAAAATGCAGTGAGGTGTGTCTACGATATGACTCTAATCTCCCTTGTGTTGAGGGGAAAAAAAGGACAAATAAGTAGCTTAGGAGACTTGCCAGTGACAGAAGTCGTGGAGCACCAGAAACATCCTGAGGATTGCTCAGATAGGTGTTTTGAGACCACCTAAGCATGTATGAAAGTAGACTTGGAGAGTGGCCTAACTTTCCTTCTTGTATTTTTTTTTCTGTAGTCATTGTAGTATTGTTTGTAACACTGAAAAGGCAGAAGAAGGAGCCCCTTATTGTCTTTGAAGAAGAAGATGTCCGAGAGAACATTATTACCTATGATGATGAAGGGGGTGGAGAAGAGGACACTGAAGCCTTTGACATTGCTACTTTGCAGAACCCTGATGGCATCAATGGATTTATTCCTCGTAAAGATATAAAACCTGAGTATCAGTATATGCCAAGGCCAGGGCTTCGGCCAGCTCCAAATAGTGTTGATGTTGATGATTTTATCAACACAAGAATACAAGAGGCTGATAATGATCCAACTGCTCCTCCTTATGACTCTATTCAGATCTATGGCTATGAAGGAAGAGGCTCAGTGGCTGGTTCACTTAGCTCCTTAGAGTCAGCGACAACAGATTCTGATTTGGACTATGACTATCTACAAAACTGGGGACCTCGATTTAAGAAACTAGCAGACTTATATGGCTCCAAAGACACTTTTGATGATGATTCTTAACAATAAAGTTACAAATTTGGCCTTAAGAACTGTGTCTGATGTTCTGAAGAATCCAGAAGAAATGTAAGCAGGTATTTTTTTAAAAACCAAGAAAAGTCTCATTTAAACATTTAAGTTTGACAGAGAGGATTCCTTTGATTAAAAAGGACATCAAAGTGGTAAATACTGTGAAGTACCTTTTCTTACAAAAGGCAAATACAGAAGTTGGTTATCAACTTCACTAGAGAAATAAACCACTTACGAAGTACAAAATATTTAAATGAAGGAAAATTCTAAACGTGAACCTACAAATGAGGGATATCTTTTATGTATTATGAACATCTAAATCTTTTATGTCAAAGAAGCTTCCACAAATTAGAGAGGACAACAGTTCTGAGCTGTAATTTCGCCTTAAACTATGGACACTCTATATGGTAGTGCATTTTTAAACTTGAAATATATAATATTCAGCCAGCTTAAACCCATATGATGTATGTACAGTACAATGTACAATTATAATGTCTCTTGAGCATCAAACTTGTTACTGCTGATTCTTGTAAATCTTTTTGCTTATACTTTCATCTTGAACTAATACGTGCCAGATATAAAAACTCTGTCTTGTTGCAGTGGGAGGCGCCCTATTTCTATGTCATTTTTAATGTATCTATTTGTACAATTTTAAAGTTCTTATTTTAGTATACATACAAATATCAGTATTCTGACATGTAAGAAATGTTACAGCATCACACTTATATTTTATGAACATTGTACTGTTGCTTTAATATGTGCTTCAATATAAGAAGCAGACTTTGAAATAAAATGATTCTTTTTTAATTCTTGTTTTGGTTATTAAGCATTTAAGAAGAAAAAAACAACCCATAGTGTTTCTAATATCCCATTTCTAGTCCTGACTAATTTACTACAATTATGACTTTTAATAGCCCTATTTATTACGTGTTTGTAGTTGTTTTGTTGCCTTGTTAAGTGATTATTTAAAATCAAATACATTTTACAAATGTTTTTAGATAAAAATCTGTAATGTCTGGTGAACATTTTGTAGCGTCTCAAGCTACAGCTTGCGGCTGTTTCCAGAGTACAGCAGTACCTTTCAGAACTATTGCACTCTGGATTTAATTTAATTTCTTTTAAACTTTCCCATGTAATGTGTATTTATCTTATAGCGTAGAACTTTTAGGGATATCAGAACAACTTTAAAAATGGATGGCAATACGCTGCACTTACAATTTACCCCACACTTGTTAATCTCCATGCTAAGCTTCTATGGGTTTAAAAGACTTACACCTGACCCAGTTTAACGATAAGATCCCTATAGACTGCTCCACCTGACAGTTACCTTATCTGAGTATTAATTATGGTTCTGGCACTTTAAAAAAATGTTTCTTTTAGTTTACTGCAGTTAAATTGCATCACCTACAGAAAACAAAACATTTTAATTCTTAATAAGAGAAATATAGAGTTCTTTCAGAGTAAGTTGTTCTGTGTAATGTATACTTTTAATCTAAAAATGTTCTATAACTTTTAATACTAGTTCAGAATGAGCAAGGGATCCGAATTTCTTCTGTGCATCAACATTTTCAGCATCTGTGTACAGTTGTAATCCTGCTAAATTCAATATAGTTTGCTGTTAAGGATCAGAGCTCAACAGCTGCAATATGGGAAGAGGCAATAAATAGAATTGATATGCATTTTTTTCCATCTTTTACATTATAAATCCCATCCTATATTTGCAGTCAGGTATCCATATGCTTCACCCAAGAGGAAATCTTATATTTGATGTATTCTTTATGTAAAGATCATGTATTTAGTTAGTCATAAATTTAATTACAAATTAAGAAAAATGTTTTAACTATATATATCCATATTCACCTTCCCCATTATATCCCTATGTTGTATAGATCAGAGTTTGCAGAAGAGCAAATTTGCTATACAATGTTTTGTCATAATATTTCACTTTATATACTTTCTATATAAGTCTGTAGTTTATTCTTCTTAACTTAGTTCTGATTTCTTTGGTTGTTGATTTTTCAGTGTTTATAATCCAAAGAATATGTTGCTAGTTTTGCACATTTCTCCAACATAAATTTAAATAAAGGGGGGAACATGACAAATTAACAGAGAAAAAAGTAAAACTACTGGTAAGTTTCCATCATCATCATTGATGCTGTATGCTTTTATTTTGCTATTCGAGAAGTTTTAGAATTATTAACTGCATTTTTATTTTACATTTTTATGTTTATTTTTTTTATAAGGACATTGTCAAGTACATGTTTCAATAGTTTTAAATGCTTGATTTTTAGTCTCTATTGTTTGTAGCACTCTCTTAGAAGCTTGAAAATAAATTTCTTTCCCTGCTGATCTTGTCCTTTTTCCTTTGGCAATTACTGATTTTTTTCCTTCCAGTGAATATGAACTTCGAGTATGTGAAAGGATTATTGGTTAACTCCTTGTTGATGCCATCCAATGCTGGCTATGGATTTATGGGAACGTCATTTGTAAATTTGAGGTAGTAGACTCACCAAAATGATTTGTTCCTGCAAAAAAAAAAAGAAAAGAAAAGAAAAGCAATATTTGTTTGTGTTGAGCTCTACAACACAAACCTCACTCCAGGCCCAAATCCCAGCTGTGTCTTCAAAGCTCATAAGCCCCAGGGCTTCTCCAGTTGCTAGGTGGCTGTACACTGAGCTAGGGTCTTTAAGATAATGTGGCGTAGACTGCAAGCTATGATGGTTGCTTGTGACAATGCCCTAAGGACTGAGCATCCTAGGATGTCATTTGATTTGCATTGGTCACTCACTGGATGTCTCTGTTTCTTGACTGGCTAAGCCTAAATCATGAAATTCTCTATCCATTATCCATGTAAGTTAATAGCAAGGCTCCTGTTGACTTCAGTAGGCATTGGATTAGATCCACAACTAGAGAGTACGCCCAGAGAAGACACCATAATGCTTAAACTGTTCAGGGAGATGGACTGGTATGGAAAGAGTAGCAGACAAAATGATGCTTTTAATCTTGTCCCACAGGCTATCATTCCGAGAAAAATAGGCTATTGTAACAGTCATTAACCTGGTGTAGATTTTAAATGTAATTGTATCTTCTCACAGAAAGCCTGTGCCCCAGTGATGTTACATATTGCCCCATCTCATACAAAATACTGACAGTGCACTGTGTATAGTTGTCTGTGCTTCCCAGTATCATCACTAACACAAAGCAACTGTGTATGCAAATGTAGTACTAAGTGCAATAGGCAGACAAGGGTTTTGAACCCGAAAGCTTGCTTAACAACTTTTCTCCAACTATTTGGGTTGGTCTAATAAAAGATATCAAATTCACCCAAGGAACCTTGTCTGCCTATGTCCTTAGACCAACACGGCTACAACCTAAACCCCTGTACTAAGTGCTAGACACTCACCTTGTAAAGAAGGGGTGGCCAAACAGTAGGATGGGCTTCACAAGGGGCCCAGGCAGCTTGTGTGTGTGGCAAGTGACATTGGGGAAGGAACAGGAAGCACAGCAGCAGATAGAGCTGGGAAGCAGAAAGCAAAGCAGCGAATTGGGTGGGGAGCACAAGAAAGGAAGCAGAAATCAGAGCAGCACATTGGGCCTGCAAAGAGGATTGGAGTGGCACGTGGGGCTAATTTGTGGTATGCCTGCCAAAAAAGGCTGCCCACCCCCACCACCACTGATGTAAGGAATACCATTTCAGTTGTGTAAGTGCCTAAACATTTGCTTTCTGTAATCGTTTCAGTAATTTTGCTCTACTGTTCCCAGCGAAGTGTACATTGGCACACTTGAAAAAAAATCACTTTACACTGGACTGAATGCATGATGAAAATGCTCAGCACTGTCTGCTTGGGAAACACAGCGATGAATTAGTATGTATTGGGTCTGAATATCTTATCCTAGCTGGAAAGCATTATTAGGCTTTATGATTTGTTAGTAGCTTCTGTTATATTAGTTTCCATGCTTAGAGGACGTGTGTTACCATACTTTTCCTACTACAATCAGCAGGCAGAGA